GGGCAGCCCCTGAGATATTGGAACATTGCTATCATGTCTCCCCTAGTCCTTCTTTTCATTAAATTAGACCTACCTAATTCCAGCAACTATTCTTTATATGTTTTAGCCTCCAGCCCCTTAATCATCTTTGTTGCTCTTCACTGCATTCTTTCTAGAGCAGTGATGGCAAACCTTTTCGGTACCAAGTGCCGAAAAGATCGCACGGAAACCGCTTGTCGGGGCTGCACTCCAGAAAAGCCATACTTCCGGATTCCGGCACGCATGTGCACCAATCAGCTGGCCAGCGTGCATGCACACACCGGTTTTCGGCACTGCTGCGCACGTGAAGGACAGCTGATTGTCACGCGCATGTGCGCCAGAAACCTGGAAGACAAACAGGAAAGGCCATGCATGCCGTGGGACATGGCTTCATGTGCCACTTTGGGCACGCATGCCATCACAGTTCTAGAGTCTCAACCTATTTTTTATATTGTGGCCACCAAAACTGGATGCAGTATTCCAAGTATGGTCTTACCACAGACCCCACATTCGAATGGCAGGGCTGCAGTCCCAAGGTGATTTTCACAGCTTGGACCGTGAGTTAAAGGCTGCAGAACCAGGGGTGAAATCCAGCAGGTTCTGACAGGTTCTGGAGAACCGGTAGCAGAAATTTTGTGTAATTCGGAGAACCGGTAGTGGAAATTTTGAGTAGTTCGGAGAACCGGTAGCGGAAATTTTGTGTAATTCGGAGAACCGGTAGTGGAAATTTTGAGTAGTTTGGAGAACCGGTAGCGGAAATTTTGAGTAGTTCAGAGAACCGGTAGCGGAAATTTTGAGTAGTTCGGAGAACCGGTAGTGGAAATTTTGAATAGTTCGGAGAACCGGTAGGGGAAATTTTGAGTAGTTCGGAGAACCGGTAGCGGAAATTTTGAGTAGTTCGGAGAACCGGTAGCGGAAATTTTGAATAGTTCGGAGAACCGGTAGTGGAAATTTTGAGTAGTTCCGAGAACCGGTAGCGGAAATTTTGAGTAGTTCGGAGAACCGGTAGTGGAAATTTTGAGTAGTTCGGAGAACCCGGTAGTGGAAATTTTGAGTAGTTTGGAGAACCGGTAGCGGAAATTTTGAATAGTTCGGAGAACTGGTAGCGGAAATTTTGAATAGTTCCGAGAACGGTAGCGGAAATTTTGAGTAGTTCCGAGAACCGGTAGTGGAAATTTTGAATAGTTCGGAGAACCGGTAGTGGAAATTTTGAGTAGTTCGGAGAACCAGTAGTGGAAATTTTGAGTAGTTTGGAGAACCAGTAGCGGAAATTTTGAGTAGTTTGGAGAACCGGTAGCGGAAATTTTGAGTAGTTTGGAGAACAGACAAATACCACCTCTGGCTGGCCCCATAGTTGGGTGGGAATGGAGATTTTGCAATATCGTTCCCCCAGGAGTGGCGAGAGAATGGGGATTTTGCAGTTTCCTTCCCCTGCCACACCCACCAAGCCACGCTCACCAAACCACACCATGCCCACCAAGCCACACCCACAGAACTGGTAGTAAAGAAATTTGGATTTCACCACTGTGCAGAATATGTCCTCGGAGGCTCATGGTTTCCAGCCAGGAGCTCTGCAGCCTCTCCATCCACCTGTCTTCAGAGAAGACAGAAGGCCGCTATCTAGTCCCCAAACCTCCAGAATGGTCCCCTAAAGCCCCCAAACCATCCAATCCGCTGCACTTCTCAGCGAGGTGATCAATTTTAAGGCTAATTAGGTATTAATTGCCAAAAAGACAGCAGTTTTGATAGCCCATGCAAATTTATCTCCCACCTGCTCACTGCCTCTTGTTAAAATCCAATTAAATCCCAGCCATTTGTATAGTTTGATGTGTTAGCGAAAGTTAGGTATCTTCTCTTTTTTAGTTGCTTTATTGAATTTTACCCGGCTGGCTTTTCAACGCAGCGGCCTTCCATCAGCTGCTGTCTCGTAAAATGGGGGAAGTGATTACAAAGTCATCAATGATTGATTTGACAGAATTTTTGCAGCAGGGAAGGTGTAGAGACGGCTGCCTTTGTGGTGGTAGCGATACTGTCTCTGTTGTGGCCCGTCAGCAGCCTGTGCGGATTGTAGCTGACTCTGACAGTGAGGAGACAGGTGTGGTGCTGCGCCAGCAGCCTGTGCAGCTGGCACTTGAGTCGGACAATGAGGAGGCTGGAGGAGATGTGGTGCCAGAAGCGGGGATTCAGCCAGGGCCTTCAGAACCTCCAGAAGCTCCTTTAAGTGAAGAGGACGAAGAGGAAGAGCCTCTTCTCAATGAACGGGCACGCAGAGCTGCCGAAAGGCAGGAGTGGCTCCTCAGGAGGAGGTCTCCTCGAGAGTAAGGCTTGGGGCTAATTGGCCACTCCCTTAGCCTATTTAAGGAGGAACACTGACTGAAGCAATTTGCAGGGAATAACTTTAGTTCACTCTCCTTCGCGTCTGGATTCTCTGCAAATTGCTTCTGGGATTTCTGCCAACCTTAGTAAGATTGTGATTATTTTATCTTTGGTTTCTTGTAGGCTGTTAAGAAAGTTTATTAACAGACTTTGTTTTGAAAAAGACTGAGTTATTTTAGTAAATTAAGTTTTGTACAAACTGTGTGTGTGCTGTGTTCTTTGGGGTCCGTAGCTGGGGCAGAACAGTCTCCTGCAGGTGTGACAATGTGGCAGGGCCACAATCCCTGGAAGAGGACAAGGCCCGAAAGCAAGAATTCAATACGGATGGTTCTTGATTTACGACCTCAATTCAACCCCTAATTTCCGTTGCTGAGCATGACGGTTAAGCGTGCTTTGTTCCATTTTACGAACTTTCTATCCACAGGTGTTAAGTGAATCACCACAGTCTTGATAAGTTAGTCACATGATGGTTAACGGAATCTGGCTTCCCAATTGTTTTTTGCTTGTCAGAAGGTCGCAAAAGGGGATCAACTGACCCCCACTGCAACCGTCATAAATACGAGTCAGTTGCCAAGCGTCTGGATTTTGATCACGTGACCGTGGGGACGCTGCAACGGTCGTAAGTGTGAAAAACAGTCATAAGTCTCTTTTTCAGTGCCGTGGTAGCTTTGAATGGTCACTAAACGGATGGTTGTAAGTCAAGGACCACCCGTAAAGTCTCTTTAAGGCTTGAATTGGGAATAAATATAGAATGCTGGAAACTGCAAAAATAGCGACCCATTTTATAATGAGCGGATTAAGATGGGATTCTCTCTGAAGGATACGAAATGTTTCTTCCCCGTTTTCTCACCACCTGGGCTGTGTTGCTGTTTATTTATTTATTAGATGTTTTATACCTCCTTTATTACCTTATAAGTAACTCATTGAGGACATACCTAATACTTCCTCCTTCTCACATTTTTCCCACAACAACTCTGTAAAATGGATTGGCCTGAGGGAAAGTGATCAGCCCAAAGTCACCCAGCTGCCTTTTGAGCCAAAGGAAGGACTAGAACTTACAGTCGCCTGGTGATTGGCCCAGAGTCACCCAGCCAGCTTTCATGCCAGAGGCAGAACTAGAACTCACAGCGTCCTAGTGATAAGCCCAAAGTCACCCAGCTGCCTTTTGAGCCAAAGGAAGGACTAGAACTTACAGTCACCTGGTGATTGGCCCAGAGTCACCCAGCCAGCTTTCATGCCTAAGGCTGCTTATTTTATTGTTTATTAATTTTCCTCCCACTGGGAACTCTTTCTCAAATTGTATCTGTTTTGTGTATCACTGGGAGCAAGATAGTTGTACAAGGCTTGCCTCGTATGTGTTTGTGCAGGGGTGGGCTTCAAAAATTTTAGCAAGAGGTTCTCTGCCCAGTTGCTGGGTGGGCGTGGCCATGGTGGGCGTGGCCTAGTCAGCCTCCTGCACCATGGCGGAGGGAGGGCGCATTTGACCTCCCCGGGCTCCGGAGGCTTTCCTCAAGCCTCCAGGAAGGCCTCAAAACGGCCTCCCCAGGCTCCAGAGGCCCTCTGGAGGCCAGAAACGGGCCCATTTCCGGCCTTCCTGAACTTCCAGTAGGCCCGTTTTTCACCCTCCCCGAGCCTGCATCCCAAAATGGGCTCCTGGGAGGGCGGTGTATTTATATATGATGACCTGAAGTGCGCTTTGGTGTCTATACCATAAGGATTAAGAGACACTTTGGTGTCTCTTAATCCTTATGTTATGATGTAGTAGTTTCTTCGGCTTTCTTCTCTTCTTGCATTGTATTACGATGGTCGTACTTTATGTGTCACTTCGAACTTTTGGAATGAAAACGGCTTCAGGGCCATCCGAGGGAGTCAAAAAAGTCACCATGGCAGTCACAACCACACAATCAAAGCCTCAACTCCAGTTTAACATGCAAACACTCAAAGCGGTACACCAGGTAGTCCTCGACTTGCAACAGTTTGTTTAATGACCGTTTTACAACGGCACTGAAAAAGGTGACTTATGGCCATTTTTCATACTTGCGACCGTCACAACGTCCCCGTAGCCACGGGATCTTGGCAACTGCCTCGTATTTATGGCAATTGCACTGTCCCAAAATCATGGGATCCCCTTTTGACCAGCAGTGGGAAAGTCAGATTCACTTAACAACCGTGGCAAGAAGGGTCATAAAATGGGGCAATAGTCACTTAACAAACGCCTCGTGTAGGAACAGAATTTTTGGGCTCAATTATGGTCATAAATTGAGGACTACCTTTAGTATCTTGGCAGAGATATTTTTTTTAACTGATGGCCCTGGTTTTTGCAAACCCAGGGAGTTATGCCTCAAATATACTGTAATCACTTCAAGATTACAGACATTATCATAATCAGAATAGAATAGAATTCTTTATTGGCCAAGTGTGATTGGACACACAAGGAATTTGTCTTGGTGCCTACGCTCTCGGTGTACATAAAAGAAAAGATACGTTCGTCAAGAATCATAAGGTACAACACTTAATGATAGCCATAGGGTACAAATTAGCAATCAGGTGTTGTCTACATTACTTCATCACACAACTTTCTTCTACCAACGTTCTTCTTTCTCTAGGTTTCTTCTCCAGCGGGATTACAGCTTTTTGAAGGACATCAACATCTGGCCCCCGTTTGTCATCATCGGGGTCTACTTTTCCACCCTCTCAGCTGCCATGAGCAACCTCATTGGGGCCTCCCGGATCCTTTACGCTTTGGCCAAAGATGACCTCTTTGGTGAGTAACAAGAGAAGAACATAGCAATCTTTATTTCTTTTGTCATGTTTGTGTGGTGTATATCGGAGGGGGGGACTCTTTGAGAGCTGGATGCAACGAAATTTCATTTTAATGTATGCCAATTGGCGTACATTCAAAGTGACAATAAAGACAAGACTAAGACTAAGTCTCCTCCAAACCTGGCAACTTTAAGACTTGCGGACTTCAACTCCCAGAATTCCTCAGCCAGCCTGGCTGAGGAATTCTGGGAGTTGAAGTCCACAAGTCTTAAAGTTGCCAGGTTTGGAGACCCCTGCTCTAAAAAAGCAGCCTTCTGTCACTCAAGAAAGCTTGGACTCCCATCACATCATAAGTAGTGATGGGTTCCTATTGATTTGCTCCGGATCTTGTGAACCGGTAGTGGCGGTGGCGGGACTCACCCGGACGTCATCACAGACACTCTGCGGATACACAGAAGCGCCGCGGGTGACCGCTTCCGTTGCGAACAGGTAGTGAAGATAAGTGGAACCTACCCCTGATCATAAGGGTTGTGGAATCAGTAGGCCCTAAAGGATGAGGTAGGTCTGTGAGGGCAAACCTATGACACGTGTGCCACAGGTGGCACGTGGAGCCATATCTGTAGGCATGCGAGCGTTTCCCTAGCTCAGCTCTAGCATGCATGCGTACGCCAGCCAGCTGATTTTCAGGCCTTTCGGGCCCACCGGAAATTGGGAAATGGGCCGTTTCTGGCCTTCAGGGGGTGGGGAAGACCATTTTCGCCCTCCCTCAGCTCCTAGAAAACCTCTGGAGCCTGGGGAGGGCAAAAAAACAGGCCTATGGGGCCCACCGTGTCATTGCATGCCAAAAGCGGGGGTCACGTGGGGGGGGTTGCGTGTGCATGCATGGGGGCAGGGCATATTGAATTATGGGTGTGGGCACGCGCGCACTCGACTCCCCGCGCTCCCCCCCCCCCCCTTTTGGCCCATATCAGCAAAAAGGTTAGCCATCACTGAGATAGGTTAAACTTTTGCCAAACTCCCAAAGGTATTTTTTGCAAGAGGCAACTGGACTTTCTGGTTTTCCTTTGAAGACGTTTCGCTTCTCATCCAAGAAGTTTCTTCAGCTCTAACTGAATGGTGGGGAATGGAAGGATTTATACTCCTTGCAGACAAAGCTGGTCATTTGCATCCTTTATAGAGTGTCGTTGAGGCCACTTGGAGGTTTATCTGTGTCCTCAGGGTCACCTGAGTGGTGCAAATGGGTATGGAGCCTTCTTGGACCTGCTATGCTACCTTTGCTTGACAGAAGTTCACAAAAGGGGATCACATGAGCCCCCCCGGACATTGTAAATATGAATTTACAATGCGTCTGCCAAGCATCTGAATTTTAATCACGTCACCCTGGGGATGCTGCAACGGTGGTCAGTGTGAAAAATGGTCGTAAAAGGGCCGGGAGGGCATTTTACCAGGTTCGCCTGATTCGCCAGTTGCGTGCCTTTCTGGATTGGGACTCGTTAAATACGGTCACTCATGCCCTCGTCACTTCCCGCCTGGACTACTGCAGTGGTCTATATATGGGGCTCCTCTTGAGGAGCACCCGGAGGCTCCAGCTGGTCCAGAATGCGGCCGCGCGGGTGGTTATGGGAGCGACAGGGCGCTCCCATGTGACCCCCCTCCTGCGCGAGCTGCACTGGTTCCCGGTGGTCTTCCGGGTGCGCTTCAAGGTTTTGGTTACCACCTTTAGAGCGCTCCATGGCTCAGGACCGGGGTATCTACGAGACCGCCTTCTGCCACCAGTAGCCTCTCACCGACCAGTATGCTCCCATCGAGAGGGGCTCCTCAGGGTGCCGTCGGCCAAACAGTGTCGACTGGTGGTCCCCAGGGGGAGAGCCTTCTCTGTGGGGGCACCTACCATCTGGAACGAGTTCCCCCCGGAAATATGGAGGATCCCGGACCTGCGCGCTTTCCGCCGTGCCATCAAAACATTTCTTTTCCAGCAGGCCGGCCTGGCCTAACCTCTCTTTTAAACTGTTTTTTAAAATTTTAAAAATTTTTAAATTTTAAATTTGTCTTATGAATTTGGGTTGTTTTAAATTTCGTTTTCCGGGCCAATTATTTAATTGTATTTTAATGGTTTTTTAACATTTGTATTATATGTATTTTATTTGGCTGTTCACCGCCCTGAGTCCTTCGGGAGTAGGGCGGTATACAAATTCAATAAATAATAAATAATAATAATAATAATTCGCATTTTTCAGTGCCATTGTAACTTCAAATGGTCACTAAACGAATGTTTGTAAGGCGAGGACTACCTGTATTTTCTTCTTGAATTTCTTATACCTTACAAAATTGACCACATATCTCCAGCTTCTGAGTATCATTCTATTACGTTCTTTCTCTAGATTTTTATTTTCTGTAAGTCTTCACCGCTTCTATCCATGTCTTCAATGTCATACAGTAAATAAATATTAAAAAATTGTGGGGGGGGAGTGCTAATTGTGGTACGTTCATATCAAGCCACAACACATGAGCCCAGTGAGAAATGTTGAGAGACAATTCCCTCAGGCAGCCAGGCTCATCTTGAAAAAGCTAGGCCTGGCCAGGCGAGTTGATGGATGGGGCACCACTCAGAAAGCCACGGTTACGAGCAACGGAGAAGTTGAACAAATCATTGCAAAAGAAGTCAAGGGCATCCAATTTGTTGCAGTATGAAAACTCCGCTATGGAGCTCAACCCCAAGGAAGTTTTATTTTTTACTTTATGAGTGGAAAGAAGAATTGGAACATTAGTTGAGGAAAACCATTTCTATCCTGCCCAGTAGTGGATGAAACTGATCTCCTTCATAAGCCTGCCATATATAATTTTAAAAAAAGAGGGAAACATATACATCTCTTTGAACATTTTCCCCAGCACAAATTTCTCTCTGCTTTGTTACAGCGGCCGTAGCAATATCACCAGATGCAGTTAGAGAATTTATTTACTCATTATTTTATGATGTCTGGATTGACTCTAATAATGCATTGCCCTAGTGAGGATTTGGGATTTCTCTCGGCCTTTTGCCTGCTTTATAGAAACGTATTATCTTACCAGGAACATATATTTTTCTAGCAAATGGCCAGGAAGGCGGGCGAGGTACGCCCAAGGAAGTTGTTGAAAAAGCCAAGAATCTGCATGGCTACCCAGAGAGAGGTTGGAATTACAGTTTTAATAAATAAATTTCTGCCCTTCAGACCTGACAAATTCCTCAGAAGTTTACGGGAATATAAACGCACCATAATAAAGAACATACATCGTCTCTTCGGTTTCCTGTTACAATAAAAACAAAGAGTTATAAAGCCACAGAACTGTCAGGTAGAAATGACCAAAAAAAACCCAAAACCTTTTGATAAATCAAAATCCTTTCGCTGGAATTGGGAAGTTGGGCTTAGTGGATCAGGAAAATGGTTCCACATTTGTGGGCCTCTACTGAAAAGGGACTTTTCCTCTCTCATCCTATTGCCTGGAAAACATCTTCTGATAGCCATGATTTATAGCCAGGGCAAGAAGCAAAAGTCGAAGTGGCACTGATGATGTTACCTAGTTTGGTAATAAAACGTCTCCAAGAAAACCACCACGCCAAGGACCACACAAAAGCTGAATTAAATGATCTGTGCTGTTTCTTATTAAATTTAAAACTGTTCAGTTAATCCAACCCCCTTTTTAAATGTAAATTTTAATTTGTTTTAAATTATGGGGTATTTTAAATTCAGCCAAATTATTTAATTCGTTTTTAATTCATTTTAAATTTTTGTATGTATGTGTTTTATCTTGTGGCTGTTCACTGCCCTGAGTCCTTCGGGAGAAGGGCGGTATAGAAATTTAATAAAATAGAATAAATAAATAAAATAAACCCCTTATGGATTATGCCTTCCATAGAAGACCTGTTATTCAGGTACTCTTCGACGTACAACAATTCATTTAGCGACCGTTCTTAGTTACAGTGGCGCTGAAAAAAGTGACTTCGGACCAGTTTTCACACTTATGACCATTCCGGCATCCACATGGTCATGTGATCAAAATTCTGACTCCTATTTATGATGGTTGCAGTGTTGGAATAGGTCAGGAGTCAGCAACCTGTGTCTCTGGAGCCGCATGTGGCTCTTTCGCCCCTTTGCTGCGGCTCCCTGTCACTCAAAATATGCGTCGCAACCGCCAATGTGCGACACCCGCCGGCACGCGATTTATTGAGCTTTTCAACCTCCGGTAGGCCAACCATGCATAAATCCAAGAAAAGAAAAGTTTCAGAAGAAAACAAAACGTTTAATTCAACTACATATGCTAGTTTTGTGGCCGCTTAAGAAATAGTCAGGCACGGGAAGGGTTTTGTGGCTCCCAGTGTTTTCTTTTCTGTGGGAAACGGGTCCAAATGGTTCTTTGAGTGTTTAAGGTTGCAGACCCCTGGAATAGGTCTTATTTTTGGGAAAACGTGCGTGTGTGTAAACTCAATAAGGTGTGGCTGCAATAGTATTATTAATGTCCCTTATTATTTTTTACTTTCCTCTTATTGGCTATGCACTTTAGTATTTTTTTAAAAAAAATTTGATTTATATGCCGCCCTTCTCCGGAGACTCAGGGCGGCTTACAATGCGTTAAGCAATAGTCTTCATACTTTTGTATATTTATACAAAGTCAGCTTATTGCCCCCACAATCCGGGTCCTCATTTTACCTACCTTAGAAAGGATGGAAGGCTGAGTCAACCTTGAGCCTGGCGAGATTCGAACTTACAGTAATTGCAGGCAGCTGATGTTAAGAAAAGTGCTTTAGTCTGCTGCGCCACCAGAGCTCTTATTCTTATTCTTATTCTTATTATATTCTATTGTTTTGCAAGTACACTGAATGCTTCTGTACACAAATTCCCTGTGTGTCTAACCACACTTGGCCAAATAATAATAAAATACAGGTAATCCTTGACGTAGAAGAGTACATTTACTGTCTGTTCAAAGTTAAAACAGCCCTGAAAAAAGTGACTTATGACCGTTTTTCACACTTACGACCATTGCAGTATCCCCATGGTCACGTGATTAAAATTCAGGGGCTTGGCAACTGTCTTATATTTGTGACGGTTGCGGTGTCCCTGGGTCACGCAATCCCCATTTTGCGACCTCCTGGCAAGCACAGTCCACGGGGAAGCCAGATTCACTTAACAACCCTGTTACTAACTTAAATCTGCAGCGATTCACTTAACAGCCGTAACAAGGAAGGTCATAAAACGGGGAGCAAAATTCACCGAACAAATATTTCATTTAGCAACGTCAATTTTTGGGCTCAATTGCTCTGAAAAGAAAGGCTCTTAAAAGAAAAACCAGACTTTTATTTCTAAGTTCCAGTTTTCACAGGGCCTGAGAAGAGAAGCATTGAAGCAAGTGAGAAGTTACGAAGCTCCGGACATTTTTCTTTTGTCTGAGGGAAATAGGCTTTAAAATGGCAAAGAGCAAAATGTGCAAGGGAGCGTAAAGTGTAAAATATTGGGGAGAAAATACCTAAATGGCACAAAATGAGCCGATAGGTATTGGAGTGATGGTAACCAAGAAAGTATAACTCAGTGCAAAGACTGATCCAGTGTGTAGACCAGGTGTCAACAACCCGTCGCTCCGGAGCCACATGCGGCTCTTTCGGCCCTCTGCTGTGGCTCCCTGTCCCATCACTGGCTGGCCCTGCCCCTCATCTTCTCCTCCCAGTCAGTCCTCGCCTGGCCTTGGAAATCCAAGATACAGAGGGGCGGGGGGAGAAGCGAGGGAGAGAGAGAGACATAGATACAGAGAGAGAGAGAGATACGGGGGGGGGGGAGAGAGATACAGAGAGGGGGGGAGAGGAGAAGATAGGAGGAGAGAGACATAGATACATAGAGGGGGAGAGGGAGCGAGAGAGACATAGAGAGAAGGGGGAGAGAGGGAGAGGGAGTGAGAGAGACATAGAGAGAGAGAGATACCAAGAGAGGGGGGAGAGAGAGAGGAGAAGATAGAGAGGAGGAGAGAGAGACATAGAGAGATACATAGAGGGGGGAGAGGGAGGGAGGGAGAGAGACATAGAAGGGGGAGAGAGGGAGGGAGGGAGAGAGACATAGAGAGAAGGGGGAGAGAGGGAGAGGGAGGGAGAGAGACATAGAGAGATACAAAGAGGGGGGAGAGAGAGATAGAGAGGAGGAGAGAGAGAGACATAGAGAGATACATAGAGGGGGGAGAGGGAGGGAGAGAGACATAGAGAGAAGGGAGAGGGAGAGGGAGTGAGAGAGACAGAGAGAGAGATACAAAGAGGGGAGAGGGAGAGAGGGAGATAGAGAGGGAGAGGAGAAGATAGAGAGGAGGAGGAGAGAGAGACATAGAGAGATACATAGAGGGGGGAGAGGGAGGGAGAGAGACATAGAGAGAAGGGAGAGGGAGTGAGAGAGACAGAGAGAGAGAGATACAAAGAGGGGAGAGGCAGAGGAGAAGATAGAGAGGAGGAGGAGAGAGAGACATAGAGAGATACATAGAGGAGGGAGAGGGAGGGAGAGAGACATAGAAGAGGGAGAGGGAGCGAGAGAGACAGAGAGAAGGGGGAGAGAGGGAGAGGGAGAGAGAGACATAGAGAGATACAAAGAGGGGGGAGAGAGAGAGACATAGATACAAAGAGGGGGGAGAGAGAGAGAGATAGATACATAGAGGGGGGAGAGGGAGGGAGAGAGACAGAGAGAGAGATACAAAGAGGGGAGAGGGAGAGGGAGATAGAGAGGGAGAGAGGAGAAGATAGGAGGAGGAGAGAGAGAGACATAGAGAGATACATAGAGGGGAGAGAGGGAGAGAGAGACATAGATAGAGAGAGAGATACGGGGGGGGAGAGAGAGAGGAGGAGATGGAGAGGAGGAGAGAGAGATACAGAGAGAGTAGGGGAGAGAAAGAGAGAAAAAGGTTTTGTGGTTCCCGGTGTTTTTTAACAACCAGTTCTCTGCCCTAATGACCAGCTGGGTAGGCGTGGCCTAGGGAGGGGTCATGTGACTGGGTGGGAGTGAGTGATGTGGAGTTGTTTTTGTTGTTGTTTTTTTCTGCGGGAAATGGGTCCAAATGGCTCTTTGAATGTTTAAGATTGCAGCCCCCTTTTGCTCTGAAGCAAAAGAAGAAAAAACCAATTTCCCATTCGGAGATCATTAGAAAAGAATTGTTACAGGCAGGGGTGGGATTCATCCGGTTTTGATGAACCGGTACTTTCAGCCAGTGGCTGGGCCTGCTCACCTGCCCCGGCATTATCCCGTCGTTTCTGGCCTTCCCAAACTTCCGGTAGGCCCATTTTTTGCCCTCCCCGAGCCTCCGCGCGTACCCTGCACTTACCTGCATCCGAAACGGGCCATGTGGGGACTCCTGGGAGTGGCAGGGCGGGTTGGGTGGGGCCAGTCAGGAGTGGGATTTGGGGGTTCTTCGAACTGCACAGAATCTTAGCTAGAGGTTCGCCCGAACCCCCAGTACTCGATCCCTGAGTACAACCATTGATCTTAATGGATTATTTCATTTTTTTTCTCTCTCTCTGCCCTGCCCGGCCTTGTGATAAAGGCAAAGTTTTGGGCCCAGCGAAGCAGACATCGGCTGGTGAAAACCCCTGGGTAGCCGTCATCTTCTCCTGGATCCTTGTACAGGTGAGTTCAGTGCTTCCTCCCTTTCCTATCTTTCTGTGCGTTCACACGACATGGCATTGTCAGGGAACATCTCATCCGATCCATTTGCACAATCCGTGATTTTGCTTTCTTGGAGCTTAACCGTTTAAATGAATGCAGGGGACTGGATTAGTTTGGGACACTGATGGCGAACCTTTTTGCCGTTGCGTGCCAAAAGCGGAGGCAGCGTGGGGGGGGGGTCGCATGTGCGTGTGCCCACACCCATAATTCAATGCGCCCCACCCCATGCGCACGCGACCCCCCTGCGTTCCCCTTGCTTTTTGCACATGATGGTATGGTGGGCCCGGTAGGCCCGTTTTTTGCCCTCCCCAGGCTCCAGAGGCTTTCTAGGAGTCTGGGGAGGGCAAAAACGGCCTTCCCCACCCTCCTGGAGGCCCTCCAGAGGCCGGAAACGACCCAGACCAGAAGTCAGGAAATGAGCCGTTTCCAGCCTCTGGAGGGCCTCCGGGAGAGTGGGGGAAGGCTGTTTTTGCCCTCCCCAGGCTCCTAGAAAGACTCTGGAGCCTGGGGAGAGCAAAAAACAAGCCTTACCCACCCGGAGGTTTTACGACCTTTCTGGCCACAGCTGTCAAGTTAGTAACACGTTTGAAAAGCGAATCTAGCTTTTCCCACTGATCGTGTGTCAAAAGGTCGCAAAAGATGAAGACACGACCTCCCCAGGACATTGCAACCTCTCATAAATATGAAGCCGTTGCCAAGCGTGCGCATTTTGATCACGTGGAGATGCTGCAATAATCGTGAATGTGAAAAACGGTCGTAAGTCGCTTTTTCCAGTGTCGTCGTAGTTTGGAACTGTCACTAAATGAAGAGCTATAAGTCAAGGACTACTTGTAATCAGGTCTGAGCCGGTTAGCTTTCTGAGATCAACCGAAGCATTGTGGGTGCTGCCCTCTGGCTGTAGAAGGAGAATTAGCCCCACTGTGAATTTAAATGGTGAAAAGTTTTGGAAACTTTGGGAAGAACTTTTGAGAACAGAATAACAGAGCCGGAATTTATTTTATTTATTTTATTTATTGGTTCGATTTATATGCCGCCCTTCTCCGGAGACTCAGGGTGGCTTACAATGCGTTAAGCAATAGCCTTCATACTTTTGTATATACCTGCTTAGTAGGGCTTTCAGGCCCCCCCAAGCGGTGTTCTTTTTTATACAAAGTCCACTTATTGCCCCCACAATCCGGGTCCTCATTTTACCTACCTTTGAAAGGATGGAAGGCTGAGTCAACTTTGAGCCTGGTGAGATTTGAACTTGCAGTAATTGCAGGCAGCTGGTGTTACTTAACAGTGCTTTAGTCTGCTGCGCCACTATAAGGCTCCTTATAGTATATAAAAATTCCAACTTCAATTGAACAGTGTGTTGTCTGGGTACAAATCATTTTAGGAAGTAATAATCAGAGTATTTACAACAATATTCATCGCATTTATATCATTTATACTAATATTAATACCATTAATAATCATACTATTTGTTTAACCAATTTAACACATCTTCCTTCTATCGCTGATCCTTTCACATATTTCCCTATTTCTAGTTCCTATTTTTGCCAGCTAGCCATTGATAAAATAATCCCAAATCAAAAAATATTCCATTTCTTTCTTTTTCTTAATTGTAAATGTTAGCTTGTCCATTTCTGTGCATTCTAATATTTTTTTAATCACGTCTTCATCTGTTGGAATCCCTTCACTTTTCCACTGTTGTGGAAATACTATTCTTGCTGCCATTAATACATGTAAAATCAGATATACACACATTCCCTTTATTATACTTGTCTGGTAAAATGCCCAGCAAAAATGTCTCTGGTTCCAAGTCTATATGTATTTTTGTCCAATATTTTTTCGTTTTTTTTTTTTTTAATTTGATTTATATGCCGCCCTTCTCCGGAGACTCAGGGCGGCTTACAATGTGCTCAGCAATAGCCTTCATCCTTTTGTATATTTATACAAAGTCAGCTTTTTGACATGTCCACCACATATGATAGTATGAACCGGGTGTCTGATGACATTCCCAACATTTTGCAGATCTATTCTTAAACTTTTTTGCTAATCTTGAGGGCGGAAAAGGTCATCTCGGCTCACCTCTGTTCTTAACCAGCTCACAAAATTCCCTAAAAATGTAATACAGGTAATCCTTGATTTATAACAACTTCCGTGATTGCCCTCCGTGAATGCCAAAAAAGTTTGTAACTTCCTCGCTTAACAACGGAAATTCTGATCCCCACTGTGGTCATAAGTCGAGGACGACTTTGTTAAGGAGCAGGGGTAGAGCAAGTCCTTCCCTTTGTGCAAGGAAGTGAAATAGCGGAGGAGGCTAAACATTTTGATCGTCATCCGAATATGGGGGCACCCAATAATTTCTTATCACTTTGGCTGTCATCGCTGCGTCTTCTAATGCCTCTCGAAGTGTCTCCCGGAAGACAAAGTGAGATAAAATATTGCCTTGGCAGGACACGCTGGAAATATGCATCTATCTATCTTTCTTTTCTTGAGACGCAAGCCGGTGTATAAATTGATTGAACAAATAAATCAGGACGATGCCCTAGAAGCTCAGTGGGGACATCTGTGACGTTAAATAGTATAGAATTCAGGACAAACACAGGGAAGATTGCATGAGGTATGCTTCTTGTCTTAAGGTGTTTTTTTTAAATTATATATATATATATATCATCATCATCATCAAACTGATGAAGGGAGGAGAACTTGTGGCTCAGAGGTTAATACAACTGCCTAATATGCAGGCAGCCCAAGTTCGAATCCGAGTAAGGCGGGGGGGGGGTTCTAATTTTTTTTACTACCAGTTCTGTGGGCGTGGCTTATTTTGTGGGTGTGGCTTGGAGGTCATGTGACTAGGTGGGTGTGGCTAGCTGGTCAGAGTCCTTTCTGGAAGGTCCTCGCACTTACGACCAGTCCTCGCACTTACGACCCGACTCATTTGTTTGCTTTTAACACTGATCAGCTGTAGGGCGGCCCTTTGAAGCCCCGCGGCAAGAGTTTAAACAGTTTTTTTCCCTCTAGTCATCAGCTGGGACTCAGGAGGCAGCAATAGATTGGGGGTGGGACCAAATAAAAGGTAAGAATAACGCGGGGGGGAGGGCGGGGGGGAGAACCGGTTCGATGACGTCATATCGTCACCGCTACCGGCTCGGCCGAACCGGACCGAACCGGGAGGAACCCACCACTGGAGTAAGGGTATGGCTAGCTGATGAGAACTAAATAGCACTTGAGGGCAGGACAAGAAGCAATGGATGGAAACTAAGGAAGGAGAGAAGCAACCTGGAACTAAGGAGAAATTTCCTGACAGTGAGAACAATTAATCAGTGGAACTACTTGCCACAAGCTCCATCACTGGAGGTTTCTAAGAAGAGATTGGACATCTATTTGCCTGAAATGGTAGAGGGTTTCCTGCCTGAGGAGGGGGTTGGACTAGAAGACCTCCAAGGTCCCTTCCAACCTATATTCTATAACCCTATTATTTTTTAAAAAAGAAAAGAATTCCCACATTTAATTTTACTTTCAAAATGGAATAGTTGTCTTGGATGCATTGTACAGGCAGTCCTCGACTTACAACCGTTCATTTAGAGACTGTTTAAAGTTACAATGGCCCTGAAAAAAGTGATTTATGACCGTTTTTCACACTTACGACCGTTGCAGCATCCCCACAGTCACGTAATCAAAATTCACACGCCTGGCAACTGGTTCCTATTTATGACGGTGGCTGTGTCCCCAGAGTCACGTAATCCGCTTTTGCGACCTTCTGACAGGCAAAAATCAATAGGCAAGCTGGATTCACTTAGCAACCCTGTTACTAATTTAACAACTGCAGTGATTCACTGAACGACGGCGGCAAGCAAGGGCGTTAAAATGGAGCAAAACTCACTTCACAACTGTCTTGTTTAACGGTGAAAATTTTGGGCTCAGTTGTGGTCATAAGTCGAGGAGTACCCGTATTGCAAAAAAATGAAAGAATTCTCCCAAATAACTTACTTTGAAAAAACAGAATCGTTGTCTTTAATTCATGGTACTGGAGGGATGAAATAAGATTTTTTTTTTCCCTGTCAAAAACCGAAATTTGGGGCTTCCTGTCTGGTTTCCGGTGCCGCCAGACGGTCCTCTGTGACCGCCGCCCCGTTGCCTGTAAAAGAGCCGCCTTTACATCTGAAAGGCGGCTCGAAAAACTCCATTTCCTGATGGAAATGTGAGTCTGAGCGGGTGGGGGTGGGTAGAGCCCTCTGCGAAGTCCCCAGAGTCTTTTTAAACTCTTGGGGACGAGCAGGTTGGCGCTCCCCCTTTTTCCCTCGCCGCCGCTCCAGGCATCGGGTGCACTATGCACTTTTGCATAGCCAGGCGCTGGAACCGGACTAATCAATGAACTTAACAGATGGATCTACTAAAAAAAAAATATGAGATTTGGATTTGGATTTGGGACCCTAAACCGCAAGTATTCTTAATGAATTTACAAGCATTTTAAAGTGAAGAGAAGGAAAAAAAAAAAAAAAGTTTTAAAATGGCCGCGGAGGCTTGGGAAGTAGAAGAAAGAAAGTCTTTTTATAACAGATACAAAGTTGCGGAATATACAGCGCTGGCTACAATTTGAAACAACAATAGTTATTTTAGGTTCCTCTCTTCCTGGTGATTACTTGATCTTGTTTGGGGGGTAAAAGAGAAAAGTCTGCTGGAAGGATGGCGTTAATAAAAGCTGACAGACAAGAAAGGGGGGGTGCTCCCCCACTCTTTGAGCCTACAGACCCTGCAGAATGGTTGTAATTTAAAAGAATTTATTCAGGAGGAAATGGCAAAATATTATGAAACTGTGAATCAGAAATTTGAAAATTTAAGGCAGGAAATTAAAGAAATGATACAACTAAAGTATGATAATTTGCAACAAAAGATTGTAACAGTGACTAATGGTTTTTCAGAAATTGCGATAAAGTTGGATACAAATATTAAATTGCTAGAGTCTAAAATGG